ACATGAACAATATGGAATCAGATTTGTCTTATAAAAAGACTTGTGTATTAAAACACAATGATTCCGAATATTTTTTCTACTATATTCCAATTCTTAAATGTATTAAAAACATTTTGAAAGTTCTTGACCTTTTACAAAATTTTGCGACAGATTATAGTAAAATTTCAGAGGTATATTATATATTTTATATTATCAGTTACACGATTTGTCATGTGATTATCATGGGAAGTGATTTTAATATAGAATTTAGAATGATTTACATTATATAATAAAATTTTTTTTTCATATAAAATTGACAAAATCACTTACTTTACATTTGTCTTTTACAAGAACGAATATACTTTTATGCAAAGATCAAGTTAAAATCTCGCAAAGCCATAAAAGAACTGCCTACTAAACGTTTTTGTGCACCACTTGTAACACCAAAAATAAAGAATCTCGCTTGTGAAGTTGGGTATAAATTGGCTTTTGTAATCCAGTATAATTTAAATCTTGATTTGCAAAATAAGCACTAATGTCACTAATTAAAACTACTTTGATTTACCAAAACAGACATATTACTAAACAAACCTTTTAAACCCCGTAAATATAGATGAATCAAGGTCAGAGTCATAACCAAAAGGCAATTTGATAAACGATTTCGGGATCATGTAACACTTTAACATGTCAAAGTTTTGTGTTCTGTCGAAAATTGTTAACCTGGATCAATTAATAATTTAAAGAAAAAGAATAAATGAATAAGTGAAGTTACAATCAACACTTTTCTATCTGTATACTAGTATCAACTTTGTTTCTTATCTCTTGTTATTTTGTTAATTGCATTATATAAATTTATTTTGATGCTACAGACTATTTATTTTTTTTATTAGCAGTTAGGCTTATATAACCAGATCATTGAATAATTAAGTGATATGATAAATAACGATTGTGACTGAACAATTGGATAATTAAGTGATTGAGTGATTGAATAACTGAGTGATTGAGCGTTTGGGTAACCGAGTGATTGAGTGTTTGGGTAACCGAGTGATTAAGTATAATAAATAAGTTAAGTTACAATCAACTCTTTCTACTCCCGAATCTTGACACTTACTTGTGACACAGCCGAATACTACAATTCAAATTTATCTGTATACTAGTATCAACTTTGTTTTTTTTGTTATTTTGCTAATTGCATTATATAAATTTATTGATGCTACAGACTATTTGTTTTTTTTTATTAGGTCTATATGATAATAATTGGACCAGACCATTGAATGATTAAATGATATGAGAAATATAATTAAGTAATTGAATGATCGAGTAATTGAGTGATTGAGCGATTGGGTAACCAGGTGATTGAGCATTTGGGTAACCGAGTGATTAAGCGTAATAAATAGGTGAAGTTACAATTAACACTTTCTACTCCCGAATCTTAACACTTATTTGTGGCATAGCCAAATACCACAATTCAAATTTATCTGTATACTAGTATCAACTTTGTTTCTTTTGTTATTTTGCTAATTGCATTATATAAATTTATTGACGCTACAGACTATT